GGCCCTGGGCCATGAGGGCGGAACTCTGGGGTGCTAACTAACCTGGAGACACTGCATGTGAAGTGGTTCCATCCTAGCACATCTGCTGAGCCCGGACACTATCCCTCAGTGGGATGGATCTATGGGCAGTCCTGCCCAGTCAGTGGGCTACGCCACATCCACTGATACCCAGTGAGATCCACAAAGTGGCTAAGGAGGGGCTTGGGGGTGCTCAAAGCAGCTGGGATTGACCTGCCAGCTTGCAAATCCGCTGCCAGTGCAGCTGGGCATCTGCTTCCTGCACTATGCAAGCCCCACCTAGCTCTAGCCCATTTTCTGTCACTAAGGGAACTAAAATGGGAGTACAGGTGCCTGCTTCCTGAGCCAGCTGCCACACTGCAGAGGGAGCAGGGCTCTGAGGGCATTGGGAGCAGAAGAAAGACAAGGACAGCATGGGAAAAGCTAGCTCCTTCCAAGGGCTAGGCATGGAAGGATGGAACTCAAAGATGTTGCATGGGCACAGAGCTTCCTCTGCCGGCAGTGCCAGCTTGTGCCAGGCATCAGGCATTGAACGGGGATGTGCCTGCGCTTGCAGTGGCCTCACCCAACACACCAAAGCTGGTCACTCCTGCCGACGTGTCCCAGGATCATGTAGGAAATGCCAGCACGGACCCTCCTTCGATTCTCCATCCCTGCATCCTGCAGGGTGAGCTTCCTGGAAGGGCTGCCAGCTGCTCGGGGCGGCAGCAGAGGATGACGGGACAGATGTGGCCCATGCCACGGACTGATCTTGCATGAGGGGGCAGCATGAGGGACTGTCCCATTCCTGCTGCACATGAACACGTCTCCTCCTGACTGCCAGCCCGAGGGCCCACACGGAGCTGACTGCAGGCTATGCCCTCTGTGCCCATCTGCAGACACACTGTCACCTCCCCGCACCAATGCCCTGTGAGTGAAATCTACTGAAATCCCTTCTGAGATCCCCTGTCACATAGGTCCACAGCAGGACAGACCCTACAGCAATGGGCACAGCCAAAGGGCCGGTGCAGAGATCCACCAAAGCATCCATGCATTGGGCTGCAGGCACAGAACTCCCAAGGGCTGTATGGAGCCTGCAAATGGTCCCATGGGTGATGCTGGGTTGGGCTTCTCCCCATCCCTGCCCCGAGGCCTCTGTCTGGGCTACAGCATCTTCTCCTTTCCAAGCCGTTTTCCAGCTCCTCCCATGCACTCGACCCAGGTAACACGGGCAGCCACTGGGCCAGAGCACCGACCCGAGCCCCCAATCAGCAGTGCCCCTCAGCCAGCTAGAACGGGCTTAAAGTTCCTCGAGTCTCTGGCAGGCCAAGAAAGCTGCAGCAGCAATGCATTTTGGGTAGAGAAGTCCTGGTTTCGAGGGCTAACTCCAGGCCATTGTTGGGGGGGGAGGGTCATGCTGGGCATGAGGAGTTCTGGTTCTGCCCAGGGAGCTGTGCCAGGCTAGTCTGTGCCACTGGCTGCTCCCCAGAGACCCGTCCTGCTTCCAGGACATGCCTCACGCTGAGCCTGTTGCTGGGGGGAGCACTGAGAAAACCCAGCAGCACACCCCCCTCTGCTGGGGTGTGTCATAGCCCAGCCATGCTTTTTTGCCCATCAGTCCCCCGCCATGCCAGCCCCAGCAGATGTGCTTAGCCCATCCTAGGCTTCCAGCAGCCTCACCACCAGGAAGGAACAGTGCACTGGCTACTGCCAGAGCCAGAGTCCAGGTCCTGCTGCCCCCAACCCCGTACCCTGCCTCCCATGTCAGACCCACGGTGTCAGCACTGAGCAGGCCATGCAGAGCCATGTCCCAGCAGTTACCCACCACCCCTGGCTTCCACAGGACAGAGCACTAAGCAGCTCAGATATCTGCATCTCACTCACAATCCCATGGGGTTCATTGTTCCAGCCACTCCAGCTTTCACTCCTGGCCACCAGCCTGTCCCCTCTTCGCCCCACTGACTGCTCCTCTCCAGGGCCTTGGCCAACGTCCTGACTGATCAAGCGATGCCAAATGCCCGTGCTGCTCAGCGTTGGCTGGGCAGCGCCCTTGTACGAGGCACGCAAGCAGCTTTGGCTAATGCTCTGCCTCTGGGCAGAGGATGCTGCCCCTGATGCCTGTGGCAGGTCCTGCCATAGCGAGGAGCGGGGTAGCTTTCCCAGCAGTCACTCAGGCTAAGGAGAGCTTGGGGAGTTCTTAGTGGCATGGCCACTGGATGGCTCCTCTCCCGCCACCTGTCTGACGTGTATGGAGCCTGTCTGTCTCTGAGCCACATAACTCTGGATTCCTCAGATATGGTTGCAGCAAAGCCCTTGGGAAATGTAGCTTTCAGTTACCTCTGAAGCCTGAGGGCTAGCTGCTTTCCTGCTCCCCCTTGGTGCAATTCCCCACACATAGCACCTCACCCTGGAAGAGAAGTGCCTCTCAGGCCAGAGACCCCACCCCATGCAGCCACCTCTGGGGTAGAACGCAGCCACAGTATAACATTACAGCAAGCCCACACAGGCAGCGAGGGGAAAGGGCACTCCAGCCAAGCTGCAGGGGCAATTTATGGAGGCAGTAGAGGTCTCCTCATCCCAACTCTCCTGAGTCTGTCGGGGGGAGAATAAACTCTTGCAGACCCCTGGTAAGGAGTTCAGCAGCCCCCAATTACCTCTGGGGACCCAGGGTTTCCCAGCCTGTCAAGCTTCCCCTCTCAGGTCTTTAGCCAATACAGTTGTGAGGCCAGGGTGAGCGCTGCCCCATGGCCCAGGCCTGGGGGTGGGGAGGGAGGAAGCCCCACTTCCCTCCCCCTTCCCTCATGAGCCCTGTCTGCGTGTGACTGCCTGGCTGGGCATGCGCCAGGAGGCGTCGGGTGAGGTGAGGTCCCTGATCCCGGAAAAGACATTCCCACCTCCCCAGGCCGCTGAAAACGAAGCACGGACACTAGGGTTCAAAGCAGAAGAGCGTGTATTGCAAGCGGCCCCTGCGGCATGCCCAGGCCTGGTGCCGCCAGAGCGCGTCCGAAGGGCCTTCCCCCCGCAGGGAGCAAAGAACAGAGGGTGTCAAAGCAAGCCCAGCCTCCGTGGGGCATACGCTGTCATGCAAAGGGTGCCAGCCCCCCATCCCAGCGGCATGAGACTGCCCAGTTGCGCCCAGCCAGCCTCACCCACACGTCTCAATGGGAATCTGATCCCCCAGGCTCTGAGAGGGGGTGCAGGTCCTCGCCCTGGGGAAAGCAGAAAGCTGGGGTCATAGAAAACAAGTGGCTATATTCTCCAAAGGAGTCCCCGTTCACCTCCTTCTCGGTACAATGCGAGCTCAGTGCATGGTTCAAGGCCCTGCACCTGAGCAGATTTTTTTTCCTTTTCCTTTAAAAAACCCCATTCGGCGGGGTTGGGGGAGCCGTGTAGGAAGGGGGAGATGTGTATTACCCACAGCCCCGTTCTGCCTGCCAGTGGGACCCCTCCAGGTGCTAGGAGGGAGAAGTGGGTCATGAAGAAGGGATTTACCACTCCACCCAAAAGTCACTCGCATGCAAAAATCCAGCATCCCAGCAGGAAAGATGGGAAGGGGGTCCCCTCATTGAGAGATTCCTATAAAGTCAGGCTCCGGGACGCAGAAGCCAGAGATGGCTCTTGCATTCACCGTGGCCTCCCTGGGTCTCTGGGGAGCTCCGGTCAGCTCTAGGACAAGTAAAAACTACTTCAAACCAAACCCATGCAAGGTGGCTATTTGCTCATGTGTCTGTCTGTCTGAATGTGGTTGCCAGTCTCCGAGGCAACAAAGTTCCTCTCTTCCTCGGAAAGGGGAAGGGGAAATGAATGCTGGGGCCATGTGGGCCCTCCCCACATTGTGTTCCCACTCCCCCACGGCCTCATCTCTCGGCCTCCATGGTCACGTTGGCCTTCTGTTCTGACGTGGCTTGTTGGGAGACTGTGGCAGGCCAGTCCGACGGCTGCGAGGGCGAAGTCCACATGCTCTGCTGCTGCTGGCTGGAGGGGAGAGCCGCAGGCCAGGCTGGGGTGAAGCCCCCGGGCTGGGGGAGTGGTGGGGGTGGGGGAGGAGGGGAGGTCGCCATAGACGCTACAGGGCTGCTGCTGTGGAAGCTCTCGGAGGCCTTGAGGCGGGAGAACATGGTGAGGGCATCGGGGAAGTTGGGGGGCGTGGCGGGCGTGTTGGCTGGAGTGCACATCTGCAGGGGAACAAAGAGACAGAAGCTAGTCAGAGACACAGCCCCTCACCCCCAGGGCCAGAGAGTGCAGTGCACAGCAGTTCTGGGGCAGAGCATGGGCGCAGTGTAACAGCACGGAAACACCCCACCAGTCATGAGGGCGAGAACTACGTCCAAGGGAGGCTGCAGGGGCAGTTAGGGAGGCTGACTGCAGGATGCCATTAATGACCCAAGGGCTCAGGGTCTCCCCCAAAAGCCAGCAGCCCAGGACCCCCAGCACCACACAGGGGCATCGGTACTAACTCAGCGAGAGCACCAGCAGCTGGATTGCCAGCACAGATCCCTGCCACACCTGGGCCTTTCCTGGGTGGTCTCTACCCAAGCACTAGCCAGGTCCAGGCAGGCAGGGCTGGGGGAGAGCTGGAGCAGGCCAAGCAGCTGGAAGATGGCACCAAGGATGGAACATTTATCTATCTTTAAAGGCTCGTCTATGCAGGGAAATTCATCAGCATAATGAGCCCCCAGTAGTTATACCAGGGTAACCAGTGCCCCCCGGGGAGTGCTGCTAGCAGAATTACGGCAGTACCGGTATGCTGGCACATTCCTCGTGTACTCCAGCACTGAATCTGTGCCTCAGTTTGATGCCCGTGGAAGCAAGGGGCTCGCAGCCCTAGCTAGAGCCGGCCATGGTGCATGGTGCTGCTGGGCAAGCTCTGCGGGTGTCCCTCTACCCCAGTGGCTCTCAAACTTTATTACTGGTGACCCCTTTCACATAGCAAGTCTCTGAGTGTGACCCCCTTTATAAATTAAGAACACTTTTTTATATATTTAACCCATTATAAATGCTGGAGGCAAAGCGGGGTTTGGGGTGGAGGTTGACTGCTCGTGACCCCCCATGTAATAACCTCACGACCCCCTGAGGGGTCCCAACCCCCAGTTTGAGAACCCCTGCTCTATCCTAACCACAGCCCCCTGCAACTCCAGTCCTGGGCTCCCCCCACGCCCAGACACACATAAAGCTCTGCCAAGGTCCCTCAGGCCTGCTTTGCCTCTACTGCTGCCCGGTGGAGTCAGAGGCTCTGCACTCCTCTCCTGCTCTGCCTTTCCAGCAGCGCTGGTCTTCGATAGAACCTGGAGCTGGCTAGGAGCCACCGCAAGGTCAGGCAGGTCCCTGTGGCTTCCCCGTCACTGCGTTTGGGAAGATGTGGCCTCCACACTGCAGGCCTCTGCCTCCCCACAGCCTGCACTGGCAGGGACCGTCCGGGGCGCGAGGAGCACTCACAGAACTCGGAGTCACTGTGTCCCTGACAAACTTGCCGGGAGCTGTCGTCTTCCCTTACCACTGGGGCAAGGGTGCGACTGATTTGTGTTAGCCCAACCTGGGCCAGAGAGGATCCCAGCATCCAACCCCCGGGCATGACAGGCAGCACCCCACCCTGTAACTCCATGGCAAGCTCCAATCAGTAATCGCTATTGCTACCACAACACCTCCCCCTCCAGGGCTTTAAAGAAGCCTGCCAAGGTCGAGATATTTGGGGATCACATCACTCAGCAGTCAAATACATCCACCCCTGGTGCGTAGCCCTGAGCGGCAAAGCAGCACCTCACCACAGTCTGGGATGGGAAGTGAAGAGCGCCGTACCCAATTGAAACTGCAGGGGGTAGATTTGGGGAGGAATTCAGTCCAAACGCTGACATGAACATTCACATTAACACCCAGAGAGCAGCTCGCACATGTCTGTGCACAGCTTGTGAGTTGTGCTAGGTGACCTGTACTAAGCATTACACTGTTATTACTCGAGAAAACCGTTTCAGAGCCTTACTCCACAAGGGTGCAGGACAGACATTTTATGTCTCATCCTAAAGCCCCATGCAGGACAGCACCCACTAGCACCACAGTGCACTCAGCACTGCCAGCAGAGAGCGCCCCCTACTGACCCACCCTGCTTGCTGCAGCACCGCACCCTTTAATGCCCTGGGGTCCGCACTAGGAAGGGAAAGCACCCCTAGCTCTGCACTGGGGACAGCACTGACTGCGTAAGGAGAGCACCCCCTACTGAGCCCTCATCTCGCTCCCTGCAGCACAGTGCCCGCTAGCACTGCACGGGGGCCAGTGCTGACTCAGAACCCCCTCAATGCAGTGATTACATCACTCATCATTCTGACGAGTGTCTGGGAGTGGCCAGGCGAGGCGCAGCAAGGTGCCCCACACGCTGCACTCAGGAGAGGCTGAGGCTCTGTTGGGTCCTGGCACAGGGGCTGCAGTAGAGGCTGGGGCGGGTGATTGCACCTGCAGCCTCTCCCCCTCCTCAGGTGGCCCAGTGCCCACGGCAGCAGCTTCCCCGCAGGTTCGTGCAGGCATGTAAGCGGCTTAGACCAGGCGCTCGGCAGGGGTGGGTATTGGAGCCAGCACGTCTGGATGACTTTGCCAGGCTGCCAGCTCCTATCAAGGCTGCTCCCTGCAAGAAGCAGTTATTTCAGGCCGCCGAGGACTAATCCTCTTTCAAGAGCTCATGTCAAACATCCCAGACAGGAGCTGTACATGGTACCCTTGAGATCCAGCCCCTCCCTGCACTCTCAACCCTCCCGGGGACAGACCCTTCGGGGGTGTCCATGAGGGAATATGAACGGCGAAGCTACGTTGGGAGGGAGAAAAGGGGAGGGGTAAGTGGGGGCCTCAGCCCCACTGTGGTTTATGACATATGCCAGGGGCCCTTCTGATGCTCAGAAAGATCTCTAGGAACTGTCAATACAACCCCATTCCCCCAGTCCAGATGCCCTGGCCCCCTGGTGTATGCTCAGCTCCTGCTGCCCATCATCCAGCTCATAGCAGGATCCCCCTCCCATCTAACCAGCTGGGGACACATCACTCAGTTTAGGAAGGATGGGGGGGTGGCCCCCCTGCCTCAGAGCCCCTGCTTTGGGATGGACTGGACTCCAAAGCCAGGGCTCCCCCTAACCTGCGAGCTTGTGCCACCCCAGGAATCAGCTGGCCAGGAAGCATCTCCACACAGCCAGCCCCTGCCCTGAGCTCACGGTCTGCAGCCCAACTGACTCCAGGATGTCCAGCCCCATGCAAGAGGGTTTTGCTCCTTGCTGGGGATGGGAGGGCGCGGTGAGCTCATCCCCACCCCCTCGGCTGCCAGCGCTGGAGGCTTTTTGCAGCGTGGCTCTTGCTGGGTGCTTGCTCTGCATGCTCACTGCATGCTCCAAATCCCTGATTGCCCCAGAGAACGGCAGAGTCAAATGAGGACACGGCAGTCAGCAAATCCCAGGGACCCATCTGCACAGGCAGATTACAGCTACCCAGGCACGAGAGTTAAAGGGGCAGAGCATAGGGACCCCAGGGGCTGCTGGGGGCGAGATTTGACAGGGAAAAGCGTTGGGCAGAGGATAAGGGGGGGGTCACAGGCTGTCAAGAAGCAAATTGGCAAAGTGCTGGGCAGCCCAGGGGCTGCTGGGAAGAGAGATTTAAAGGGAAAGTGTGTGTGTGTGTGTGTGTGTGTGTGTGTGTGTGTGTGTGTGTGTGTGTGTGTGTGTGTGTGTGTGTGTGTGTGTGTGTGTGTGTGTGTGTGTGTGTGT